CCGACTATTGCACATAGCAATCATGATCGACGGCGGGGCAGCGGTCTCTGCAAGGCTTCGCATGACCCCCGCCCACTCCCGAAACGCCCTCGCCCACACCTCCTCCTTCGCCTCAGGACCGAGCCACGCGCCTAAATACTCCGCGCTTCCCACGATGGGCATGCCGCTCCACCGCGGGGCAATCCCCACAAGGGCAGCCGCTACCTGGGATCTGACCACCTCGCTGAAGGCTTGGTGGACAGGGACCAGCCTACACTTCGGCATCTTGAGTTTCAATCCTGCCAACAATCCTGCCGCGTAAAAAAAACCGAGACGCGCAAGAGCCCGAAGATCACCCACCAGAGCCCCCACGTCATCCGCACACACCCCCACAGCCGATCCTGGGTGTTTCTTCAACCTTTTGCGCATGTCTCTGATTAGGGGGTCCATGATTAGAGCCCAAAGCGATCCTGAGTCAGGAGCACCCTGCATGATGCCTGAGGTGATGATGCAAAACGTCTGGAGGCATCCGAGCAGGGAAATCTTTGCCGCCGCGAACGTGTAGGTCGCTTGGGTCAGGCTCAAAAACCCTTCTGGGAAACCTGATTTTGCAAGCACAGCCCACAGGAACTGATGGAGAAGGGAGGGGAAGGCGCTGCCAAAGCCGAGGAAGAGGAGGGAAGGCATTCTGCTCGCAGCTTCAGGGTGCATCCCAGCAATGCGCGCTTCCGAGTCCAGAAGCACCACATTATCTAGGAAGTTCCTACCATGCAAGAAGCCTCTCTGATCCTTGTGGGCTTGTGCTGCAATCGACCCTTTAATTCGCTGGTTGCAGGCTGACGAGATAATCTTGACATCTGTGTTTGTTATGGCAAGGGGGCGTGTGTCCTGCGGGAATTCCATGACAAAGGTACTACCCCGCTCTTCGCGACCCTTTGGCGCAAAGATAAGAAGGAGGTCGCTGAGGGAGACAGGAGGGGGGCACCAGCAAGTAGCTCGATCATTAGTTCATACAGGATTGCTCGCGAAAGCGAAGATTGCTGCCATGCCGCGTACGGAAGGCAGTCAGGCCCAGGAGCCGTGGGTTTCGCGCCATGGATCACGTGCGCAATCGACCCCATCGACGGCGGCGCAGCCAATGACCAGTCAAAAACATGCACATGCTTGTCTAGGCACTGGTCGAGGTGCCTCTGCGACGTCGAGCGGGGGGCGAAAACAGGGGCCCAGTGAGACCGAAGGGAAGACGCCATCTCCGCAGAGGACACAAGGACCTCATCACGCGCAGGGTCGACCACAGCCTGCAGCGGCAACGACTTCCCCTTCGGAGCCCACATTTTGGCGCGCCTCCTCTCAGCTCTGACGTGAGCTCGAATTCTTTTCTTCTCAGCATATACAGGGGAGTCCTTCAGAGCAGTTTCAGCACGGTTCACACGGCCCTCCACGAGATCACGCTGAAGCTGCTCATACTGCCTCCAAAAATTCATCGGCCAGGAAAGCGAAACAATATAATCATCCGAGATCTCAGAAAACTCCGACGCAACCGTCGTGGTCGCAAGAAGGGTCCGAGCCAAATTCACTAGGTTAAAATGCACAGCCCTCGATATAGATCGGAACATGATCATCTTGGCTTCCAACGGGGGTGTTCTAGCACTCACTAGCTTGTCCCTGGTCAGGCGAGCCGCTTCCCTCAGCAGACGTTTGTACTCAGCCCATTTCGCAATCGTCGGCAATTTCATCAGGTCCGACTGTCGGAGGAGGGGGTTGAGATATTGTTTGTACCCAGGAGCCCGGCATAGGAAGCGCGGCGCCGCCTGGTCCTCCACCGCCTTCTGAGGCCGCGAGCCGAATGTGATGCACAGCGGCGCATGGTCGGACACGCCTTGCTTGAAGAGCTCCTCAGGGTACTGCATGACCGTCGCACTGATCTACCATTGAAGAAGTAACCACCCTGGCGTGCTTATCATCACTTTGTCAAGCTGAGAAAGTCGTTGATCATCATGAATATCGTGCGTCGGTGCCTCTGGGTCCAACTCAGTCATCTCGCTCATTGCCGCAGCCCATAAATCAGCACGCCCCCTGTGCCTCGGAGGTATGATCAACCCCTTGTCGATCTCAGGTACGTGCAAGTGCATCGGGGCCGCCTCCGTGTAGTTGAGGTCGCCCATGGCGATGAGAGTCATCTTATGCGGCTGCAGGGCCGCTTGCTCCGCCTCCGCCGAAATACGAGAGGAGATAGAGGAAACCTGCTGAGCCGTCAGACCAAAGTTGTGCACATTGTATACCACCAGCATAGCGTCAGGCCGCTCATCATCAGCACGGGCCTTGATCGCAGCTCGCAGAACCCTGCCAGGGACCAGCTCAGAAACTCTTATCCGTTCATCACGAACTGCTTCATCAGCCTCGGCCTGTGTCATCTGCGGCAGCAGCGTGACCACACCTCCAGCATCGCGCGCATGCAACGAGGAGAAGCACGCCGCCTTGATCTGGAGGTCGTAGAGGAGCCTGAGCATGTCAGACCGAGATCCATGCACGTCTTGCAGTGCAACCACCCCAGCACCTTTACATAACGTTTTGAGATTGGCGGCCTTCTTGCGGCGGATGTCTGGCTTGTGGTGAAGGAGGGCACGGGTGTTCCACGTCGCAAACTTTATCTCCTGCAGAGGTCGCTCTCGTAGCTTCTCATGCCATGCGTTGAGAGTCCTGCTAAATTTGCCACTGAACTCTCTCCTCCGTGTGGAACTTGTTATTGAACGCGGCCGTGAGCGCGCCCTTATTGACCGCATGCTTTTGCACGAGGGAACAGTTCCATAAAAGACGTGTGCTATCATCTCTCTCATTTCCCACTTGTACCTGCACGCAAGGGGAACCATCCAAGAATACAACTCCAAGTTGGCGATCATGGCGAGTCCGAAGGTTTGGGAATTGCTCACGCACCGCAGCAGCCATGGCTTTGGTTTGTATCTCTCTTCGTACTTGCTTCGGTGATTTGTCCATTCCCACGAAGACTCTCGATTCGCCACCCTCAATCGTGTTGACCGAAAATTGTTTCCATGCGCCCGTGATATCTGTGAGAGCCCCTCTTGCAGCCTGCGCCCGTTGATGTCTCCTTTGAACTGGATGATGAAGCGCCTTGATGGAGTCGATCCGAGCAGCTTCCAGTCATCATCAGGTATTTTTGCTTCACGTAGCCACGGCGCCAGGACACCGCTGAGTACCTCTCGATCCACATTGGCTGTGGTGTTCGCGACCAGGATGCCCGTGTCTGGGGCCCTGTCCCACTCTGCATGGCCGTCCAGGTCCTTGACCGTGATTGTAGACTCCGCCACGTAGAGAGCCGCCCGCATCTGTTCCAGCTGCTCCGAGAAGGCCAGCTGCTGCTTCTCCGATGAGGCAATCCGCTGCTGCATCTCGTTGATCTCCCCACGGAGCTGGATGTTGACCTTCTCCTGGCCGGCGGCGACGGCGCGCACCAAGCCCTCAGTGTGGTCCGTGACGTCCTTGACCACAGCCCCTCGGATGGAGTTGAACTTTGCGTCGATCGTGGCAGCGACCTCCAACTTGTAGGCCGCAAAGTAGTCGTCAAGGTCTCCTTGAGCCAGCGGCTGGCTGGAGGTGTGTGCAGTCGCCGGGGGCGTAGCTGTCCCAGTGGTAGCGTCAGCGGCGGCGGGGACTCGACGAGAGTTCGCTCCTGCAGCAGCAGCCCAGGGGTCACCAGAGCCCACCAGAGAGTCAGCAGCACACCCTTCACCAGGAGCGCCAGGACCACGGCCACCACGAACGCGGTCGCCTCTGACCTCCTGCGGAGAGCGCGAGCGGATGGAGGCCGCAGGCTCATCAGGCATGTCCTTTTCCTCCTCCTCCTCTTTCTTCTCTTCCTTCTCCTCTTCTTCCTCCTCCTCGTTCTCCTCATCCTCCTACTCCTACTTCTACTCCTCCTCCTCCTCCTCCTTCTCCTCTTCTGCTTGCCCTCGTTTCCCTCTTCCTCCTCCTCCTCCTCATCCTCCTCCTCATCGTAATCGTCATCGTCATCATCATCATCCTCATCATCATCATCATCATCATCAGCATCACCAGCATCATCATCATCACCACCATCATCATCATCATAATCATCAACACCATCATCATCATCATCATCATCATCATCATCATCATCATCATCATCATCATCATCATCATCATCATAATCATCATCATCATCATCATCATCATCATCATCATCATCATCATCATCATCAGCATCGTCATCATCGTCATCATCGTCATCATCATTATTATTCTTCTTATTATTAGTACTATATGCGTATGAATAATATTATGAAAATTATCATCATCATTATCTCAATCACCATCATCACCATCATCAGCATCATCAGCATGATCGACATCGTCATCATCATCATCATCATCATCATCATCATCATGATGATCATCATCATCATCATCATCATCATCATCATCATCATGATCACCATCATCATCATCATCATCATCATCATCATCATCATCCGCATCATCCGCATCATCCGCATCATCATCATCATCATCATCATCATCATCATCATCATCGTCATCCTGCTCTCCTGCTCCTCCTCCTTCTCCTTCCCAGTCTCCTCGTCCCCCTCCTCCTCTCCCTCCTCCTTCTTCTTCTTCTTGTCCTCCTCTTCCTCCTCCTTCTCCTCCTCCTCCTCCTCCTGCTCCACCTCCTCCTCCTCCTTCTCCTCTCCTCGTCCTCGTTTCCTCGTCTCCATTTTCTCGTCCTTCCCTTCCTCCATCTCCTCCTCGTTGTTCCCCATCTCCTCCTCCTCCCTCTCCTTCCACTCCTCCCCCTCCTCCTCCTCTTCTTCCTCTTCTTGCTTCTCCTCCTTCTCCTCTTCTTCTTCCTCCTCCTCGTCCTCCTCATCCTACTCCTCCTCCTCCTCCTCTTCCTCCTCCTCCTCCTCCTCTTCTTACTCCTACTCCTCCTCCTCTTCTTGCCTCCTCCTCCTCCTCCTCCTCCTCCTACTTCTCCATTTCCCTGCCTGGTCGCCGTCGCGTCCGCCTTCGCCTCCGGCCAGGTAGGCCGCGCCCTCCATGGCACCACCCGGGCTCTCGGCGCTGGGGCGGGGTGTCATAAGCGGTATCACCCGCGCGACTGGGGTGGGATGCCGGCGCAAACTTCAACGGCGCCCCCCTGCCCCCGATCCAATGTTGGTCGGCATCGCCAGCAGGTCGAAGTATTTCTGCCAGTCGACAGATCGACACATCACGGCGCAGCCCGCCAATATCAAATTGGCGGCGCGGGGGGTGTTCACCCAAATCAGCATCCGGGGGCGTCCAGAAGGGGAGCGTCCAATAGGGGGGTTCGCAAAGCATGGCCTGAGGCATGTGTGCGGACGAGGGGGAGACCAGAGGGCGCACTGAGAGAAGAAGATGGGGCAATGAAATCACCCAGCCATGATGTCCCCCCTCCTAGTCGTCACGCCCCTCCTTGGCCGCCACAGAAGCATGCGAGGGGCAGAATTTTGCCCATCACCCGAGGCGGTACCGAGTGGGCTCGGGCGGCGCTCGAGCCAGAACGGAGTTGGGAACGACAGCTGTCGTGATGGGCGGGAGGGGTCGGGAAGATACAAGGCTCGACTGTGCAATAAACACCCTCAACATACGCGACAATCATGATGATCCGACCGTTTCTCTGCCAACTGAGTTGGGAAAGACAGTTGTCGTGATGGGCGGGAAGGGTCGGGAAGATACAGGGTACGACTGTGCAGCAAACACCCTCAGCATACGCGACAATCATGATGATCCGATCCGATAACCGTGTATGCGATGAGTGCGGAGGACGAGGAGGACCCAGACCCCCTCTCGACGTGACAAAAAAAGGCGCGTGACGTTTTTTGTTGTTGTCGGCATCCAGGGGCCCTCGCCAGGCCCAAGGCTGCAAAAACGACTCGGGATGAAACGCCGGTCCCAGAGGGAATGGGTCGAGGCCTCCGTTGCTACGTTTTTTGGCATCCGGGGGCGCTCGCCAGGCCCCAAGGCCGTAACAAAAACTGCTCGGGACGAGGAACTGGCCTCGGGGAGTGGATCGAGACCTCCGTTGCGATTTTCGGCATCCGGGGGCCCTCGCCCGGCCCCAGGGCCCTAGCAAGGAACGGCTCGGGACGAGAAGCCGGTCCCGGGGAGCCACGCCCCAGCCTCCCGGGAGCCGCACTGTGAAAAAACCAGGGCGTCGGGGGTCTGGGCAGCATGACGGGGATGAGGAAGACGAGGCGGACGAGGAGAGCGCCGAGGAAGACGGAGACAGTGAAAAGGAAGACGAGGACGAGGGGATGGAGGACGATGTGTATAAGGATGGATGAGACGAGGAGCAACGATGATACAGGAATGAGGACGACGGAAAGGGAAGCGGAATGAAAAGGAACGGTGATGATTAAGATGAGGATGAGGATGCTGATGATGATGATGATGAGGATGATGATGCTGATGATGATGACGAGCATGCTGATCACGATGATGATGATGATGATGAGGATGATGATGGCGATGCTGGTGATGATGATGAATATCCGGACGCCTCCTGATCGCTGACTCCTGGTCTGCCTCGCCGAAGGAGCGCGCCCGGGCGCTCAGTGCCCCAGCGGCGCCAGCGTCGCGTCGGCGCACCACTGGGAGCCTCACTGGCCTTACTAACATGTTCGGGGCGATAGAAGCACTTAATCAGTAGCTTAGCGGGATTAGCGAACTGCAGTTCTCTAACGCACTTGTACTCGCTTTGAACCTGGTTAAGTAACCAACTTGGCAGCTTTCTGCTAAGCGCGCTATCTGGCTTAGCCTCCCCCCGCGAACCTACTTAGCGCAACCCCTAACCCACTTAGCAAATGGACCCTAACCTACTTGGCGGGCCTCACATTTTTAGGCATTTTATGCTAAAAATCATACACTAGTGTTTTGAAAACCAAGATTCGCGAATCGAACACATATTTTAACAACATGATGTTGCTGTTTTTCGTTATAACTTGTTGTTTTTTCCCCGCCAGTGTTTTATTTTGTGAGTTTGGCCAGCTCTTTTTTTCCTGCGTCATCATTTTTTCGGTCCATCGGTCTCGACGGCCGAACACAATAGCAGCAGCCAAGCAACGGGAGTGCATCGCCCCTCCCCTCTTCTCGTTCCTCTCATTTCCCCCCCATCCCCTCTTGGGGGGCAAGGAAAACGACACCCGCTCGAGACATCCTCACACGAGTCTGAATGAGAGCAGAAAAGCGGCCCCCGCTCGAGGCTTCCTCGCAATTCTGAGTTTGAGCGATCCCGCCCTCCTCGCCATTACCCTTCATTCCTTTCCCGTCTATACTCCGTGTCTTTCCCTTCCCTCCCTCCCCCCTCCGACCCCCCTTTTTCTCTCACCCCTGTCCCTTCATCCTCCCGCTTCCTCCCATGCCTCCACCCCGCCGATTCCTCCACCCACCCATCATTTCCCCACTCCCTCCCTCCGTCCATCCCTCCCTTCGCTCCCTTCCAATCCCCATTCCCATCCCTTCCCTCAGTCCTTCCCGCCCTCCCCGTCATCACCGCCGTCGTTCCATTCCCCCGCCCCTCACGTTGCTTCCCTCATCATGACGATAGCGAGTGTAATGATCATAATGGTGATGACGATGATGATGATGGTGGTCGTGATGATGAGGAAGATGATGCTGACGATGATGATGGTGGTGATCGCGATGATGAGGATGATGATGATGCTGACGATGATGATGATAAGGATGATGATGACGACGATGATTGCGACGAAAACAATGACGATGACGACGTCGATGCGATGATGCTGATGATGATGACGGCGATGGTGGTGACGATTAAGGTGATGATAATCACGATGACGACGACGGCGACACGGTCGACGGTGATGATGATGACGATGATGGTGAACATAATGGCGATGATGTTGGTGACAATGACGACGGCGGTGCAATCCCCTCAGGACCACCCCTCTTTCGTTCGCTGTACCCCTCCCTCCCTCCTCCCCGCCATCCCTTATCCCACCCTCTCTCCCCTCTCATCCCTTCCCATCCCCTTGCCCCCCTCCCTCAGGTATACCGTGAGACCCGCCCTCCACAGGGGAGGGGGGAGGGGTGTGGGGTGGGGTGTACGGCGGGTATATACTATTCCTTTCCTCCCTCCTCCCACTCCCTCCGTTATTCAAGTAAGCTTTCGGGCGGCTCTCACTCGGAGCCGCCCTGGAAAAAGAACTGACGTTCTCTGGCCTTCAGGCGCAGCAGAGTAAATGCAAGGTTCAATGAGATGTGTGGACCGAACGAGCACGGGCGAGCTATCTACAACACACGTCGCGTGATTATCTCGCATCTCAAGCGTCGGCCACCGCGAAACACAACTAAGCAAGTGGTGGTTGACTCGCACGTGAAACCAAACGTGGACGAAGCCGACGGTGCCGTCGGCGAACGTGAAAGCTGCAACGTCCCCCATCTGTATCACCCTACTGTGGATCGAAGCGCACCTAGCTGTGACAACTTCCCAAGATGGATCAATCCACAAGCAACTTTTCAGAGCATCGAGCATCCTACGGCTGGGCGGCCTGGGGGACAGCAGGTCGATACCCCTGATTTTGTGCTTGGGGTCTGAAAGGTGTTGGACCGTAACTTCTTCCATCAGCCCACGATCGTAAGCTGTGGTCGAATGGCGCCCTGTGGCCATTGTTTTGACCACCCTGTGCTTACGTTCGTGTAAAAACGTGCTGAGCAGCATTCCTTGGGACTCCATCTGTTCAGGTAAATGGGTAACCCAATGCGATTTCGGTTTCCAGCACGACTTGAGGCTGTAACACTTTTTCTGCAGTGTCAAGTGCAACTGTATAGCATCGTGCAGCTCGGCGGGCGTTACGCACTGACTGTTTGCTACCGGCAGCAGCGAGATCACATGGCAAGCAGCCAAGCCACTCGCCACATGATCGGGGAACGCGCCCGAAGGTAGAACAACGTCAGACAGAAACTTTTCCAGTACGGGTACCACGCTCACTAGTTCAGACGCCGATCCATTGGGGTCGTGCCCATCACCCTTCAAACAAACCTTTTTAGCATGCGCATACCCTTTCGGCCACTCCCACTTTTGAAGGTAGGCGTGGAAGGCGGAAGCCCCAAGGTATACCGATTGCAGCTGGCCCATCAGCAGCTCGAACTCCGTGGCGAAAACCCCTCCGATCAAGTAGCAATGCATCCAGTCCCACGCCCAGCAGGAAGCCAGGGGAAACTTCAAATCAGGGCCCTGTAGAAATGAAGTCTCGATGTAGGCAAGGCCGAACAAGGTCTCCATATCAGCCAAGCGGCTCGGGTTATTCGCATTCAACTCTGCCAGCCTCGCTTGTATCTCATGGATGCCTTCGTCGGTGTGCAGATCGTACTTCCCCACGTCCGTGCAATCGCTGCCGATGAGGTAATTGCCACTGTCAGGGATGAGGCTACTCCAGTGAACACACACGTTTCGACACCTGCCGCACAACTTTATACCAGTGGCCCCCTTCGCACCAGTCGCAAATTTGTGCGCCCTCTCGTCGGCGATGTGCACCGACACCGCGCCATGCAAGATCCTCGCGGCGCCTTCACCTGGAACGAAAAACGCAACGCCGTGTCGAAGGTCTCGGCTCCGCGGGTGGCCCAGAAAAAAGCGGAGCACATATTTGTACAGCTCTGCCATCCCGCCTGGTAGTCTCTGAACCTCGCTGGCCCTCAAGGCACACACTGTGAACCATGAGAGCTCATTCTGTAAAGTTGGGAAGCCGAGCTCTTGCCAACTCCAGTACATGCACTGGACCTTTCGCAAGTTTGACGACTGAAGCGGGCTCCCTGGTGTTATCTCGTCGCTATACACGATGATTGACATTTTGTTTTGGCTGCGGTTCCAAGCATCCACCACTACCTCCCTGAAATCGCAGCTGTCCCGCATCGCAACTTCGAGAAAGGCGAACGGATCCTGCGCCCACACATCTACGGTTCCCTTTTTTGAGGCTGGCACCTTGACCAACTGAAGCAAATTGCCGAAACTACTCTGCTGGTGGGCAATATCTTGAATAGCCCGCCGATGTGTTGATGCAGAGCAATGTTCTGGAAGGTCCTCCTCCGCTAGTTTTTTCAACACCGCAGATAGTGCTGCTGATGTAAGATAACTGTCTCTCCCAAATTCTGCGAGCCTGGCCCTCTTGTGAGGAGGCTCCATCGAATCGTGCAGCTGATTGAGCCAAAACGGCTATGACGGCGGGGCAGGGGTGGGTTGTGAGTGGGAGAGGGGGATGAGGGACACGCTAGGTGCGCTCGCGTCATAGCTGACGTCCTACCCCTGGAGGAGGAGGAGGAGGAGGAGGAGGAGGAGGAGGAGGAAAAGGGCGATGAGGAGGATGCGGAGGAGGAGGAGGAGGAGGAGGAGGAGAGGAGGAGGAGGAGGAGGAGGCGGAGGAGGAGGAGGAGGAGGGGAGGAGGAGGAGGAGGAGGAGGATGAGGAGGGGAGGAAGAGGTGAGGAGGAGGAGGAAGGAGGAGGAGGAGGAGGA